AGAGAGAGAGAGAGAGAGAGAGAGAGAGAGAGAGAGAGAGAGAGAGAGAGAGTCCCTACCAGTATCCCACCTAAAACTCAGTGGGGAAGCCAGCAGAAGGTCAGAAGTTGCCCCTGCTCCCACGTGTAGCATTCTGTTTCCCTGTTTATGTCAGAAAATATCTCTGAAACAATGATTTAACGGGGCACAGGCTATCTAGTGGTTCACTAAAATGTGTGTTTGTATATTTGATATCATATGTAGGATTAGCTAGCTCATTACTCATCCCTAAATCAAAATCATTAATAAATAAATTAAAAAGCCAACACAGATCCTTGGAGGATTTAACTTCTTCCTTGTCCACATTGCGGAAACTCAGTTTATTGCTATACTTTGCTTCCCATTCATAGCCTTCAGCGTAAAGCCCTCTAATCCCAAAGGAAGGAGATCTTAACTTTGGATTCTTCGATGAAGGACTTCCTCACAGCCTTTTTTAAAGTTCAAGTAAACTGCATCAATGGGATCATTTCCTTCCATATTTTTTTCTCTAAACATCCACATTTGCTAAAAACATAAATACGTTGATGAAAATATTGTTCCATCAATTTGCCCCAAAACAGACACTAATCTTATGGACTATAACAGAGTTTCTTCTTGACAGCTTGAAGATATTTGGACTTCAATCCCCAGAATTCCCCAGTCATTCTCCACACATCTTCAAGTTGTCAAAGTTGAGAAACACCGGCCTATAATATCTTGAGCCTTCCCCGAATCCCTGTTTAAAAACTGAATGAATCTCTGCACTATTTCCAGGAAATAGTTACCAACTTTAAAGTGACTTTTGAGAAGAGGGTTCAATCATAACTACTTATGATATAACGCCACTCTTTGTTCTTATTCACACATGCATGTTTATGGTTTCATTTCTTATCAAAGAATTATTAAACCTTCATCAGATGAGTAACATCACCGCAAGATGTTGTGTGTGAGATAACATTTTAAGTAACCAAAACAACATTTTAGTAATCTGGTAGGATTGGGGAATCTGTGAACTAGACTAAATTTAATATTATAGCAGTTCACTATTTCCTTTATTGAATCTTATAAATAGTTTGCAGTCTGGAATAACTGACAGATTGGATTTTTGAAGGCATTCAATTTCTTCAGCAAATTTATTGGAGGTATGAACGAAATATCTATCAGAGCTTGAGGAAAATGTCATTCTACTCACAGTCAGCTGCGAAAAATGTAGCAAGTGAAAGAGAGGAAAAGGTACTAAAAGAACTTCAAGTCATAGGGACCCTTACCCAATAATTTAGAGTGTGGGGAGCTACAGAGTGAAGAGAGAAGCAAAAATTGGAAAACTGTCCATTGCCCAGGAACCTCTCACAGTGAGAGGATCATGTTACAGTACCAAAGAGGGACATGTTACTGAGATCATTAGCTGTATTCCTCACTACATCAAGGTAGATGTTTTGGTGCAACCACATTTTGGCAAGTTGATATGAGATGGCTGATTCAGTGTCTTGTAGTATTTCCTCTTAAATGCCACCTGTATAACTGTAGATTGATTTTTTTTAAGTGTC